AGAATAGAGAATATTTGCAGGAGCAGTAAATGCTGTGGTTTTGAACAATAGTTTCGGACTCACTGGGCATTCAGCTACTTGGTGTGGGTGGTTATGAGTTTATATAATGTGTCTGAAGTACAAACAAGTTACTCATAATTTCTGTGTGTTATGGATTTCTATGGTATGTTACAATCTATACCCTGTCTTGATAGGCACTTGGATGTGTAAGAATAGGTGCCCAGCAAAAAGCATCACTGTGGCTTTGGAAAAAGAAACACTGCTACTATTGTACGGTAATTAGAACTCCCTGGGACTAATGCTTTTTCTGAAAGCTGAATACAATTTAATTCCTAATTGATTAGGTATTTTTATAGCACTCTTGGCTTAAGCAATGTGCTTCATAATGTAATTTCAAAGATTTATAACCTTCAAATTTAGACTACACATTTGAAATGCAGAACAACCAAGTGGGATTGTTCTGGATTCTAATCAGCTTTAGATATTTAATTGCAAAGCACTGTAATTACTTTTGAGCCCTGCCCAATACTTCAAACATGGTTATTTAAAAGGTAATGAATGCACCAAATGCTCAATAGGATTCCATTGTACGCTTTTAAATAGATATAATGATTTTGTGGGTTATACAGAATTTACATTAATATATATTTGAATAATTTGCATTTTATGTAGGGCATATTCTATTTATCAATTAAAGAAGGCCACATAAAAGCAGCTATAGGTGGCATCTATTCAGTATGATGGCACCTTTCTTATCAACAAAGGAAAAACAGCAAGCGCTGGCTTTTTACATTGCTTTAATGTTATGAAAATAGCAATTGCATTCGGCATGTATAATTAGAGAAGAAATAATGGATATCTACTGAGAAGTCATAAAAATGTGAATTATAACATTAAAGTTCAAACAATTTTCTTATTATGAATAGCAACAGAAAAGGCAAAAGAACTGATGAGACAAACTAGCCTTATCTGTTAACTCCCATTGTAACTTTTAATTCACAATGCACATTTAGCTAACTATTAGTTTTGGACAGCTTAAGTTTTATCTTTTCTATTACTAACAGACAGTAATAATATTTAGATTCTATCATTTTTTATCTGCATATAATTTGCTATTTTGCAGAAAATGATTTATTCAGGTCTAGAATTAGTCCAAAAAATACATTTTGTAATACTTAAACAATGTTTTACATATACTATATATTACAATCTGTTTTCTGGTCTCCTGAAAGACTAAGGGGACAATTTAAAATGAAGCCCTATCTGCTCTTTGATGAGCACAGCAATATTACTCCACATTGCAGCAAACCATTTCATATGTTATTCATAAAATTCAGGCCTCAGGAGTTGATCCTGTACCGTCCTATGGAATTTTCTCTGCATAGTGCTAGAGAAAGAATTTAGTGTTGGAGGAGAAAGTTGCATAACTCTTCCTACCACGTTTGTTATCATTTGATTGGCACACTGTTTGCTTCAGTACTCAAGTGAAGTGCCATTTAAATGATAAAATGCACATTTCTAGGGCACACCATAGTAAAGCCATACCACTACTTTATATATGGTTCTCTAATTGTCTTCTTTTGATTACCAAGGAATACATAATCATGTAGTTTTATTGTAAATGCTATTGATTTCCAAATTATACTAAAGTAACCATACTGACACCATTAACACCATGTAAATATATCATGTATATTAGCTACTTGTTATCCACTGATATCAGGTCTCTGCTAGATCTGTAGGCTAATCAGTCTTTCTTAAGGTGCCCATACACCTTACAATTTATCTGCAGATTTTCTGTGGTCAGATGGAAAAAGTGCAACAGATTGGCCCAGGTGGAGATTACTCCATCCACACAGTTAAGTGTAGATGGAGGAATCTGTTGCACCTTTTCCACCTGACCACAGAAAATCTGCAGATAAATTGTTCCTGCTGGCAGGAAGAGAAGAGTAGGCAGTGTGATGATGTCATCAGTGTAGTCATGGTGATATCACTATAAAATCAGCCAGTTGGAGTTAGGTTGGTTTTTTGTACTTGCTTTGGAGTCTGGCAGGGTGCCTGGATCACAAAACCAGCTTAGCAGAATGACAACTCTGTTGTGTATTCAGCTACATACATGGAGTTTAGTTTTAACATGTGCTGCATCATCTGTTTGGTTGTGTTTTAGTGTAAGCTCAGGAAGGCAGTGCAAACTACACTTGCAATCACAATAGAAATGTGGTTATATTTCTAAAGTGACATTAAACCCATACGTTAAATCTTAAAAATGCAATCAAGTACCCAAACTATTAACACTATTTACAATCAAGTACCCCAAAAAAATACAATCAAGTACCCAAACTATTATTTGTGTATTACTCGGCTGTAGATCCTCAAATCATCTCTGAATTCATGGTGATACTGTGCTTCCTTATGGAGGGTGGCTACTTTTGTTCCCCATGGTCCCCGTGTGTGTTGTAAAGCAGCCACCGCTCCAAGCACACACCTGTGATAGACTACCATTTCAATACAAGGACCCTTTCTAAACTTACCTCTACCTTTCTCCCACTATAATACTATAATACCAAACCTTAATCTGACCTGCAAATGGTTGTGCCATATTGCAAAGTCCTTGCCCTGCCAATCATCACTTTTGGCACTTTGGTTGTCCTAAATCCCTGTAAAAATGTAAGATGTATACGTTGATGTTCTTTTCTTTTTTTTAAAAAAGGAAAACAACAGCCATAATTATAATAAAAAGCAAATACAGCTAATTCCCAGAAGTGAATGATGGGTCTTAGGATCCATATGCACTAACTGCATTGGGGTTGATCTACTAAAGTTATATAGGTGGTTCACAAGGGAAATCTCCCTTAGCTTAGCGAATGAGGTAAAACTTGAATTTCAATCATGTGAAATCCACTAAATTCCCTAGGCTAAGAGAACATTTTCTTGCAAAGTAAACTGCCTATTGGCCTTTAGTAAATCAACCTCATTGAGTGCATCTACATCTTACCTCATGTTGTTAGCCAGGTGCTGTGCAGAGTGGGACATCACTAATGATTACAAAAATCTTTACAAACTGAAGCTTGCAAAATACAATAATTCCCTGAAAACTCTGTATTGATAACTGTGTTCATCCAGTTGCTATTGGGAAAGGCATTAATGCATTCTCAACCTGCATTATAGCTGAGCTTGTTATGACCTGTGGCAAATACAGTCAATTCTATTTGCTGCACGTAATGTTTACATTGAGTAGATAGCTAGTACTGCAATTGGTTACTAGACATGTAAACTGACAAAAAATTTTTTTTTTTTTTCGGTGACCTTCCAGACCCAGGCACACTGAGTCCTTTTTTCTCTAGCAAGAGAATACTAAATATTGAGTTGGGAGCCAAAGATTGTTCTCACTAGAACTACTTATACATAGACTGGCACCCTCTGTCTTTTCATTTATTTTTTCATACTGGTTGATTCACCTATATTATACAACTTCAAGAGGATTATTGTTTGATTCTCCATTACCCTCATTGGGAGCCGTCCATGGAGATAAACCTCTCTGCCCCCTCCTGTGTAGTTTGAAATTGGAGTGGTGAGTGTGATATGATTTATGAGATCTTCATTCTCTCCTGCTTCCTCCTCCCTTCTTTTCCCTGTGTTGGAACCCATTTCTTGGTCATGTTTTGGATCCACAGCAGTTTTGGGATATGTACGTGAGGTTCCTGAAGAAGCCACTTGGTGCGAAACACAACGAACCTCAGAATAATAAAAACCCAGGCTCAATTGCAGCCAATCCTTGCTTGTCTTTATAAGTCATAGGGGTGTGGTGCCACCCACTTACCTCGCACCTCCCTACCCACTGTTATACTTTAGCTGTTGTTGGATGTCTATTTAAAGTTGTGTTAAACTCTCAATAAACTCTATTACTAATAAACTTTATTATCTCATTAACAAATTCAGATCAAATAAATATTCATTGCCTAGCAAAGTGTTTTTTTTGTTTTTTTTTACACAAGCACTTACAGTCTTCATGTTTACAAACAGCTGGCTCTGACTCTCACAGCTCTGCTTCTCTGAACTTCCTTTCTACACAAGGGACAGCACAGTCTCCAGCATATGTCTATATACTAGCCTGCAGGAGGAAAATGTAGGAGGGGGAGGGGACTGGCTTGCCTTGTCTTACTGTGTCTGTGGAAAAGAAGGGGTCACTGGAACTCCAGAATGCCGCTCAATACGCCTTTATTGACACATGTTCAGTATCACATAGCATGATGTTTTAGGGCCACACGGGGTCCCCTTCATAGGGTAAAACAGTGATAATGTGATGTGTGTTTGTGGAGACACACACAGCTTAATAGCACACACAAGGGTGGCTCCATGGGACCCTGCAAGGGAAAGAAGCCACACTTATACAGGATATAAGGATCAATGCTCAGGGGACCAGCTGATTCTGCAGAAACCTAAAACCTTTGAAAATCAAGGAGCAACATCCATTGTAAGTGATTTAAAGCAGCATTTCAAATAGCTTAAAAACATGTTGATTTTAATATAATTTTAAACATACAGGGGTTGATTTACTAACCTTATAAACACACCACGAACAGGTATACACCTCTGTAGTGTGTTCCCTCCCAGCATGATCTATTGGTGGAATCTAGACACCTTTGTAGTGTGTACACACCCAGCAGGTGTGTTGTGCAAAGCCCTGCATGAATTGCAAGGTGATGTTGTGTAAATTAGCTCTACATTGTGTTGCTTGCGTTGATAAATGCAGGAATGTAAATGCATGAGCTAACCATTTTTGTCTAAACTGTGAAGCAGCATTATATATGCATCATGTGCATGATTTTTCCATATATGGCATTAGTGGAAATATGCTTTTAGAGACTTTTTGGTTGATAAATAAGTTTTGCTGTGTAAAAATCACACGCACCTAGTGCGTGCGTGTGTTTAGGTTAGTAAATCACCCCCACAGTATTTGTAATTTTACAGTTAAGCACAATACATGAAATACACTGTACCTGTGCAAATTCTTTGTTTAGGATCATTTGTTCTGCCAAAGAGGACTCATTGTGAAAAAGATGAGGCTGCATATGACTCCACATGTGAGGAAACCACCAAAACTCGTTCACTGAAGCCAATAAAAGATCATCTCCTTTATCTTCCTCAACAGTACCTTCAATAACACAAAACTACCAATTAGTTTACTAATATTACAAAACACCTATTTAAATACATTTTTATCTGTTCAAAATGATATAGCTATATGGTCCAAAGTATTGTGAAAGTACAACTTTAAGGCAATATTAAGACATTGATATGCTATAAAACACATTTCTGTATTTTTATTACCACAGTGTTTAGTATGAGTTCATTTACATATACATGATCAAGAAAATATGAACAATTTAAAAAATAAAAAATATAAAAGCCATAAATTATAAGGGCACTTTTAGTTAAAAAAAAGTACACTAATCTACTCTCCCTAGCTCCCTAAAGTAAACAAACCTAGAAACCCCCTATCTAGCTGGTTACCTAAGAACAATGGTGACCGCCTCCAGTGTTTATCTCCTAAGGTTAGAAATCTTATTTAGGGCTGACTGTGTAGGCACAGTGAGGTGCCATAGACTTGAATGGAGCTAGTCTAGAAGCATGGTCCCATTTAAGTCTATGAGGGTTAATGTAAAAGCACTGCAATCCCTGAAAAAGATTTTGACCCAAGTAGGAAAACAGTGGAGGTGGCTGCAGCTGCTATGCTCTGTATGTAAGCAGGTGGGTGGTGGGTTTACAGGTTACTTAGGTTAGATGAACCTGGGGTGTTTAGGGGTCACCTGAATTTACTGCATGCAAAATAAAATGTCACTAAAGTCATAAAACAAAAGTTTCATATTACCGTCATCATGCTATTATAACATCTTTCACTCTGTATCATTACATTTCTATGCTCATTCAGTGCCCATAAATACCCATCAATACATGTTGAGAACGACATTTCCTGTGTGGCTTTATCAGGGCCGACACTTCAGCTAGGCAAACTAGGCAGATGCCAGCGGCTTCCTTGCACTCTGCCGGCTTCTTGATACTGCTGTAGGATTGCATAGTGTTCGTTTGGAGACGAAGAGGTATTCAGCCAAATACACAAGTGCACAAGCTGCGCTGCACACATCACTTCCTCCTCTGCTCCTGCTGTCACTGAACTGTGATCATCCCGGGGTGTCCAGGTGTTTCCTGGCACTCTATAGTCGCACCCGGGAGCTCTTAGAATCCGTGCTTGGAGTGTCGTGCTGCCAGGTGCGGGGATCTTCAATAGTTGGTTGCATTGTCCCTGGCACTCTGGTGTATCTGCTATGCCTAGCTGCTGCTGGCTCACCCAGGAACTTTCTAGTGCAGATCAAGATAGAGCCTAAAGGACAGTAGGACTCGAAGGGGCCCAGGGGCCACAGGAGGCTTAAGACAAGCATCAACAACAGCCCCCGGTTACAGCTGTTACGAGCCAGTGAGACACGGTTGACAACTCTGCAAGCCAGCGATCAGGACCAAGGAGATGCGTGAATTGTGGGGTCGTTCTTGGAGTAGGGAAACTCTCTTTCACTTTTTTGCTGTCTGTGTACCATAAGGGAAATTAGAGGAAATCTCTCAATGTTTCCGGCTTAGACAGTTGTCCCAATTGCAAGATTTCCCCTTACCTCTTGTTCTGGGGACAACTCTAACAATTTGGATTTTCCCATCACTGTTTTTTCTCACTGACAATGGTCACCAGTACAAATTGAATTTTCCCAATGGAGACATGGCCTGCATTAAAAACTTGGCAAAGGGAATAGCCTTATGCCAGTCTATCCAAAACAAAAAAAAGGTTTTGCCTAGAGATGCCCAGAGATACATATCATCTCCTGATTGCCATTACTTTTGAGTTTCTATGTGGTATCTATTATAGAGAATATAAAATCGAGCCATTCAAGCAGGAGATAAAATAACAGCTCCCGAAAAAAAAACTAATTTAAGAGAAATAAAGACTTTTAATAGTTTAATAACAGTTTAATGTAAAAAATAATAATGATTCTACACCTACACAATATTTATATATACAAACTGAACACTGTCATGAGAAAATTTAAGTGAGATAAAATAAATGCAATTAAAAAATCAAATCTTACAGCTTAGCAATTGACCCCAAAGGTTTAGGAATCAAACACTGAAATAGTAAAAACTATTTTTCAGTCTCATTAGTAAACCTCCATCAGCTTCTGACCTCCTTTGTTAGGCTCCTCCCCTACCTGTACTCTCATTTACAGCAGTGAAAAGATCACCTTACCCCTGCTTACAGAAAACTCAAGTCTGCACCTATCTAAATATATATTTCACAGAATTCTAATACACCTGACTTTATGTAGCAGGTTGTATTATCTAGCAGTGCCCCAAATCAGAAAAAAACACTTTCCAACCCCAAGTATATTTGTGAGTAACTACACAACTGGGTATATTCTCTAACACTTGAAATGAGTACTTGTGATGATGTGCACAGTGCAGAAACCTATATGCATGCATGTAGGAACAAAACAGCATAAGACATGTAATATAAAATGTGTGTAACAGCTATATACTGTATATATTTCTCATATTAGCTTTAAGTTGCGCTGACAATGTATAGCAATGTACTGGCACATAAACTGGGTTAGGCCTTTCAGTCATCTGTATGCCATACATTTCTTTATACATGTTAGACCATATGCTCAAAGAAGAACTGCAAATGTTTTCTCAACCCTTCCAGTGGGGCTACCCCTGCACTGCAGGGGTTGAGTGGTTGCTTTTGTCTAGCATTCTATGAGATAATCCAAATATTTGCCAAAAATCCTGTTGGTATCTATGTATGCCCTGCAACAGTCCCACTGACTGACTGCTAAAAGTCACCTCACTTAGCTGACTTTAGGCTATAGTGGCCTGTCAAGCCAATCAAGAATTAAGTAGGAAGATTCCGCCTTTGGCAGGTGTGATCAGTTAGTGCCTAAATGTAGTTGAAATGAAGCAATTAGAGCTGCTGGGCTAACTTTAAGTTGTCAGTGAGCTCAGTTGAAGCTTGAACAGGTTAACTGTCTTTCAGTTTTTGTATTGTTCTTCAGCATCTGTGATTACCCTGCTGAGAACACACTGAAACAAAGGAATGAAGGGGAAAGACAGAGGGGAAAAGGGTAAAGAAATAAAGCTTGTTAGGAGAGCTTAGGTGATACAAGTCATTGTCCAGAGGGTGTATAATAATATATAATATTCACAGTACAATGTGAAGGAGAGAGATTTCGCTATAACAAGTATTTTACTGAATACATTGTTAAAGGGAAATGCAATAGAAAAAAAATGAACGCATCTTGCTCTGGTGTGATACATTAATTGTTCTATAATGTTAATCCTGCACAGACCGTGAGATACTGTAATATAATGCTGATTCTGCAGCATTGCAGCACTCAGTACACACGTACCTCATATTCCTTAAACACAAAGCATTAAACTAGTGGTGGTGAATATACTGGATCAGGTTGGCCTGAATTGAGGCTCCTGACATCACCAAAAGTCCCACATATTGGGAGTGTGTGTGTGGGGGG